AATTGTTCTGGCGAGCAGCAGTTCACAGCAGACCAGCAACAAATTAGTTTTGATGCCTCACTTGCACCGAGGCATTCTCTGCTATTAAGACATTTCTTTTTGTCAAGTCAGACTCAGATGATTTCCTGTGAACAGATATGTTTCATTCTGTGTTCAGAATTTCATGCATGGAAATAAACAACAAACTTTGCATACACTTCAATGTTTTAAACATAGACCATATGTAATGAAAGTAGCCACCGTAGCGTCATCCATTGGTTTGTGGCCTCCCGTTTCGGGGAAAAAAAAAAGTTTAGCAGAAAAATATGGAGGAAATGAAACAAAAAAGTGCTCTATGGAAAAAAAAAAAAAATCACATCAACAATCTTGGGTACACACTCCCACACATCACAACCACATTTTGGAAAAAAATATACCTTTAAGATATTTTACCCCTTTAAATATCCATGACTTTTTGTCCTCTAATACAATTCATTCCCTTTAGCATGACATGGACTTTCTTCTCTGGTTCTTCCTCCCTCTGTTTGTTTTCCCCTGCCTGACATTTATAGTGTGAGCTCGGAGGATGCTCTGAGCGGTAGAGAGGAGCTCCGTCTCCGGGACATTGGGCGTCCATGGTGCGAGCAGCTTCGGATCACTCACTTAAGCAGCTAACATTTCAAACGGGCAATAAAGAGAGTCCTGGTCCCTCTAGAACAATAAAACAGTGTTAGAGTCAGGGGTGGATGCACTGTAATACAGACAGATATTTCTCTGCCACTGCTGCAGCTGCTGCGCTCAGCACAATGAGAGAGACTGAATCAAAGGACATTCACTCCAGCAAAGAAAGAGAGCGTGATTCACTCTAGCATCCAGGTGTAACATTCACTTTCCTACCATGGCCAGCAGATAGGAGGTGTACGTGGAGAGGTAAGGATGTCATTGGGGCATTAAAGTAATTTAAGACCTTAATCAACCTCTGTCAGTGCAGCAACATTGGTGGAACATGGCTCCTCCTAAAGAAGTCTGTCCGTGATATTTCTCCCTCAGTATTGAGATACTTGTGGGGGCAGAGTAAGACTGAGCAAAGAGAGGATTGGTCTCTCCATATATGACAAGATGTAAATCAGTGTGGGGGTGTTAATTTGTTTCTGTCCTTCCAGAGCAGGGACAGGGATGACAGCTAGGTGATGATCCCTCATGTCTGATCCATCTCACGCTTCATTCCCCCCGCAGGAATAACATTGAAAGGGGATTTAGCCAAGACCTTGACTTGACTGCCTGCTTGTAGAGAGGAGTGCACATTGTCTCTCTTGTGTGAGTGTGGAAGTCTTCCTATGGTAAGGGCTAGAAGGGTAGACAGTGATGAGACCTGTGTGTCATTGTGTATTGTCTTAGCTTGTGTATTCATGTGTGACTGTGAGTTCACGTCAAATTTCATTCAGGACTCCCAGAAATAAACAGGAGATAACTCAGATTTATTGGATTAATGACTTCCTCCCATAACCTGCTGTTTACTGTGTTGACCTCCACCACCAACAGAACATCCCAACACTTTGATAGATGTACTTGATTACCAAATCCGAGTACTACAAATTAGAGTCCCTCCTTACCTAAACTAAAGGAGCTCCAGTCTCATAATTTCATATATGCTGTCACTTGCCCCTGTATGCAATTCATCAAAGCAGGAATGGCCCGAAAAATGTTTTTCAAATGGCCTTGAAATTGTCTTTTGATTCATTATGAAGGGGTGGACAACTGTTGTAAACTAGGCCGCAAATGTGTATTAATCGGCAGCTTAAACTAGTCCCCAACAAACTTGTTTACTACTGTTTGAGTGATGTTTCCTATAAACTGCAATGCCCATCTATTTTGGGAAATCTTTTAGACTTACTAAAAAAGAAACTACATAATTGACTCCAATTTACATCTTTAATAGATTAAGGACAGAGTGTCACAGACAGTAGGCAGAGTCCTGCATCAGGTCAGGTATTCGCGGATACTTGGTGGATGACCTGCAAAAAAGGTGATTTGTAGGTGGTTGTTGTTGTATGTTATTTCCAGGTTTGGTTCTGGGTTAAACGAAGAACATGCAGGATGGATTGTGGGTGTTTGATAATAAATATAATAAAATAAACTAAAAATAATAATGGCTAGATTTAATATTTGAACGTTTTTATCCTTTGACTGCTGACTTTGTGTTGCCTCTGTCTTCTCTGCTACCTGGAATAAGAGAGCTGCTTCAATCAGTTGCATTACCAACAGGCATGTTAACTGGAGATGTGCTGCGCAATATTATGAGAATTGGCAAGAGAATATTGAGTATAGGGTAAGGAGCTCGGACATCCGGAGGGAGCTCGCAGTAGAGCTGCTGCTCCTTTGCGTAGAAAGGGGTCAGTTGAGGTGGTTTGGCCATCTGATCAGGATGCCTCCTGGGTACCTCCTGTAGGAGGTGTTCCAGGCACGTCCCACTGGTAGGAGGCCCAGAGACAGACCCAGAACACACTGGAGGGATTACATATCTTGTCTGGCCTGGGAATACCTCTGGGTCCCCCAGGAGGAGGTGAGGAGAGGGATGTCTGGAACGCTTTGCTCTGCCTGCTGCCCTTGGGACGCGGCTTTAGATAAGCGGTTGAAAATGGACTGCTGGATGTATGGATATATGAAATGTCACCTTAAAAGTCCTGCCTAATCCAATTATTGGAACAGCACATAGTTATTATTGGATTTGCAGTTCTTGATCGGGTCATAGATCTTGTGTTGGGATGTCAGGTCAGGTTGCGGAACAAAGAAGTCGGGGAGAGAGTTGACATTATGTTGACATAATGTCACTAACTTCCAAAACCACCCACATGAGTTTGTTATCTTCCAACTCCAAGGTTAAGGTTCAGTGACATTTACACAGCTTCAGGCATTTGGTCAGGGTTAGGGAATGATCCCAACCACAGTAAAACAGAGTAAAGTGTTCTGACCACTTCTTGTTGCTTTATGTTGGGATTTGTCTTAAAGGAAATGGCCACTTTAGAATGAAAATGCATACAGTACTTACTGACCTTCATGCTGACAAGAAGTCCAGTGTAGTTTTTTAATCCACAAAACTTGTTCGGGGTATCGGAGGATAACAGCTAGCCGGAATAACAGCAGTGCTGTGTTTACATGGCAACTCGCGAGAGAACTAGCACTAGTCTCGCGTGAGTTGCCATGTAAACACAGCACGCCTGCAGGGCAGGCTAACTGACCATGGTGAGAAATGATGCTATAAAAGTGGAGTAAATTACGTCTTTTCAAGTCAATTTTGCATGCTGCGACTTCAGGGTACTTGGATTACGACGGACGAGCCATTCTGACGTTTTTGAAATGCATTAGCAGAGTTTTATTACATTTTCAAAATGTGGGTTCTGTGTACTTCAAGTGTAGCTGTTATCCTCCGATACCCCCAACGAGTTTTGTGGATTAAAAAACTACACTGGACTTCTTGTCGGCATGAGGGTCGGTAAGTACTGCCTGTATTTTCATTCTAAAGTGGCCATTTCCTTTAAAGTGTCTCTCAACTGAAGGTCTCAAGCTGTTTGAACAAACCACCATCCCTTTCTTTGTCTCATTTTCATTTTTTTCTTTGAGACTACAGACAGAATGCCAATTTTTATGCATGAAAAACAGTACGAGTAATAAATAAAACTGTCTTTAAACAGGCTGCATGCCTCTTTTGTCCTTACTGAAACCCTGCTTGCTGTCCCAGTGTCAGGTCGGGCACTTGAGATTAATGGAGAGCATGCAGTCCTTGAGGTCATTAAGGACTTAATCATGGGTCACCCTGAGCTTTTCTTTGAGATGAGGACACGTCCTGCACACCAGGAAACCCATTGTTTGTTCATGAGTGTATACATATGCATAAGCATGAACATATGTGCATCTTTAAAATGCACTTAAACATAGAGTACCACAGCAGGAGACATTGTCTTTCTGTCGTAGCATTGTTAAACCCTTGTTGACTTCACTGCAGTGACAGTTGTGCTAACAACTGTAGATGTGCTTTGGCATCACTCCCCACTGTTACAAGTCTGGAAACTAAAGGAGATGCTTGGACTAAACTTCTAGAGTCTTTCTTTTAGGTCCGTGCTGTCCCCTCATTTTGCATCCCCAAGCTTTGATAGCTGTTGAGTTGTCGAAGGAGATTAGGCAATGAGATCCATTTCTGTGTACTCTCAGAGGGGGGTCTCCTGCTCTGCAGTGATCATGCGGGGACATCACCTAATGATTTATTCATATGAGAACGTTTTTTCATATTTTGTTCTCTCATCACCATGCTTCTGACTTGCACGTAGGCCTCGCTCCCTCCCACCCTCCGGCGTCTCTCATGCTGTCATCAGGCTCAGGTGATACTAAAGCAATGGAGGGACACGAAAGAAAAGAAAAAGAAAACCCACTACCCTGCTCTCCATTAGCAGCAAGTCCTTCACAGCATGGCACAGACGCGTTTTGCATAATTATTGATTACAAGTGTGAGGAAAAATGCCGAGTGCTGCCCGTGATTAATTTGTGGTCTCTCATTTCCTCCTCACATCCTCATCAGGCAAAGCCTCGCAGAAAATCAGGAGCTAGACGACCCAGTCTGGTTTGAAACATGAGCTCTAATCCCACAGCAAAGGAGGACAAGAAGCTTGAGAGGGTCTAAATGAGGATGTTTACCTTTTGTTTTCATGTGGATTCAAGGATTACTTGTAATTAATTGGACCCCCTGCACCGAAAAGCTGTCAGACAAATTATGCAAACAAAAAAAAACTAACATTTTTTTAAATGAGTAAACACTCAAGGACACACACACACACACACACACACACACACATGCGGGCACAAATACACACATTGTCTATCCCTCTTGCCCTCTTTTCCTCTCCTCCCTCTATAAAATACACAAACACATTAAATCCAATTTACAGCTACAATCCAAAGGCTTCAGCTTGTATAATTGAGGTTAATCAAATGTATTTTCTTCCATATCTCTGCGTTTGTTTTTGCAGGCAACGCATGCACCATGTCAGAGTACAACAGGCTGAAGAGCATGCTGCTGGATATGCAACCTAAAGTGCTTAAAACTGGAGAGCAGAGCCAGCAGAGAGACATGGAGGAGAAGAGAGCACTGGTAGACACCATGTTCAAATACCTGGACGTGGACCAGGACGGCCGGCTGGTCAGTGATGAGCTGGAAAAGGTTGGTATCAAGCTGAGATGGCCTGATTAACAGGATTGATGTATGAATGGACGGATGAGTGGTTAAGACTGATTGAGAAAAGAAACATTAGAACAAAGGGAGGATATGCCTAGAATACATCTTTCTGTAAAGGTTTTGGAATGGTGGTTAGACTGTGGGAGGTATTTGTTGTAAAACTTTGTGTGTGGGATTGTTTTTCTTAACCTTAGAGCGTTTATTACCCTAGTTTAATTATGTGAGAGTCAGGGAAGGCACGGTGAGGAAATTTAACCACCAGTTAATAAACTCGTGTTACCAGTTACACCTGACATTTTACAAGAAAAGATTGCTCAAAATTTTATTAGAAAGTAGTCACACAAAATGCAGTGTTTGTCAGTGAGATAAGCACTACTGCTGTCGTTCGTCAAAAATTGGTCTACGAAACAGGACAATGATCATTTTCAGCATTTGGTGACGGGATCACTTTAAAATATAGCAAGGAGCACTGGAACCACAAGGAGCAGCCACAGTGAGCTATTTAAAGAGCTGCAGGCAATAGGCTGCATGCCTCCAACTTCTTATCTTACTCCTCTTCCCTCATTAACATTATCAGGTTCCCTATCAGCACTGGGTTTAAATCTAAAATAATGCCAAATAGGTTCTTTTGGTTTTCACTTTGGGTCTGCTCTGGGGCCTCCTACCAGTTGGACGTGCTCGGAATACCTCTAACAGGAGGCATCCTGATCAGATGCCCGAAACCACCTCAACTGACCCCTTTCGACGCAAACTAGCAGCGGCTCTACTCCGAGCTCCCTCTGGATTTCTGAGTTCCTTACCCTATCTCGAAGGCTGCGCCCAGCCACCCCACGGAGGAAACTAATTTCGGCGGCTTGTATCCCTGACTTCATTATTTTGGTCACTACCCAGAGCTCATGACCATAGGTGAGGGTTGGGATGTAGATGAACTAGTAAGTCAAAAGCTTTGCCTTCCAACTCAGCTCCCTCTTCGCCACGATGGTCAGGCGTAGCGCCCACATCACAGCAGATGCTGCGCCAAATCGTAGATCTATCTTACGCTCCATTCTACCTTCACTCGTGAACAAGACCCAGAGATATTTGAACTCCCTCGCTTGGGGCAGTAACTCACTCCCAACCCAGAGGGGGCAATCCACCGTTTTCAGGCAGAAAATCATGGCCTCAGACTTGGAGTTGCTGACTCACGTGACCCTGCTTAGGATAAGAGGTTGAAAATGGACGGATCCATCCATCCGTCCTCTTATCCCTGGATGGATGGATGGATGGATGGATTGAACTTTTATACCAAATCTTCCACCACTGTCTTATTGGTTAACTTGCCTTACTCTCATCAAATAGTAAGTGGAATCTGACTCCTGCTGCTCTGTGCTGTGACTCTGCGGCTGCTGCTGCACAGAGCAGACACTTTCTATTTTTTAATTGTAGCATCTGTTGTCCAGCCAGGTATTGATTTTTTCTTTAAAAAAAAAAAAAGAGAAAAGACAGTGAGGGTGGTGGAGAAGTAATATAATTGGTGTATGCCTAACACCATGTAACACCCTGTAACACTGGTAACCCGATTATTGCGGCAAGCCTAGTGAGAGCGTAAAGACATCAGCAAAAACATAGATTCCCAACCTGATCCAAGACACTTGCAGTTAAGGGATAACAATGTAATTTTATCTAATTTGAAAACAGAATTCTGTCTTGTCCCTTTAAATCCTCTACACTAAACTGTGAGCCCATCCCTGCTCACACTGGATGACAATCAATCAGATTATTTCTTCTTTGTGTGTCTTCCCACCAGTGTTATTACTGAATGTTAAAGACCATGTGGTCAAGCTATAAAGTAGAATGAGTGACATGTGGCTGGAACGTTTAATCATCTTGTTTAACAATAAGCAATGTTCACTGAGGTTATCTTCCCACCAGGGTGTGATGGGAAACAGTGGGGGAACTGTACAAAGGATTGGCATTGACATTTGCAGGGTGAGGAAATTAAATTATTGTGGGCATCATCTGGTATCAGGAAATGGGCATCAGAGATGGGTGTTAATTAGACTCCTCCCAACCAATCCTATGATCTCAGTGACTTCTGCCAGAATGCAATGAACCGTGTTAGAGTCACTGCAGACTGCAACCAGATGAGTAAACTGTCAAATGCTTCACAGTCTTAATATCTAACATTGTAAATGTGTTGTAGCTTGTTCTCGTTATGTGGAAGATGAAAGAGAGTGGCTGTATGATGTCACAGAAAAACAAGCTGTTACTATATTATTATAAGATGGAGCAATAATAAGTGAAACTAAATGTAGTCTCAAAAATGTCACAGTAATTAATCTTTCTCATCTCTCTGCGGTTGTGAATGACAACGCGCTTTGTCCCCTTTTAAAATTAAAACTTTTGAGTGATTTTTGGCCTAGTTTTAGCGGGCAGAAATAAATAATTAAATCCCTCTCTGGCAGAGCTGCACTAAAAGATCCAACAAAAGATTTTGATCATCAAGCTAGCAATTACTAATGCTGACATGTTGCCAGAAAATCTGTAGATAAGAAACTCTTATCCTGTAGGAATTCATAAGTACAGTTTCCCAGAGATAATGCTTTTAAGGACCAAAGGAATTCAAAGATGAATTGCAATCATCAACTCAGACTGTCTTCATTTCGGGATCCAACTATGATCACAGATGGTCTTAGAGGGTAAAGTTCTGTACTTTGGGTTTGAAATATTTTACTCAAATGCCCAAGGACGGATTAGTCTGTCAGTGAACACATGGCTGCAGTCTGCTGTGGGCAGCAAGAGGAGAAAAAGTTTGTCACATCCCTTAATCTGCCATGTTCCATGTGTAGCTCCATACAGAATCAATTGGAGGAGATGAACAAGCACAGAGGCTATATTTTTAGGCTTTGAAATCATAGCCGAAGGAATTAAACATACTTACTTACAGAGCCCTGTAATAGTCGTTTTAGCATATTGGCCTAGAAATACCTTTTATGTTAAAAAACTTACATTCCACTCATTCTTGTAAACTGGGACAAAACCTTACTTTTGGGGGGTTTGATTTTTACTCTTGAAAGTCTTAACTAGTAAACCTTGAAATGGGCCAGCCTCCCAGTGATTTATTTTTTTTCTTGAATAGCATACATAATGGATGTCAGAGGTGAGATCTGATGGAGTTGCGTCTTACGGAGTTAACAAAAAGTTACATATTTGTTAATTTTACTCTAGTCATCATGAGTAGCTGTTTTTCTTTTCAAAGTTGCTAAGAGTTCTGTTAACTCTAATTAAATTACTAATTTTTAAACCATACTTCATATTTACTTTTGATTTACGTTCCCTCGCAAACAGCTCCCTCTTTGTCCTGTTAGTTTTGCAATACTTCTGAGTACGGAACAATTTATATCCTCATCATAAACATTTTTAATTAATTAAGTTTATTGACACCATATAATTCCCTACGTAGCTCCACTCAGCTTCAGTATGACTAGAGGGCTAATTAGTTAAAGTAATTGAAAATGCCTGAGCGTGTGTGTGCCTTCAAAACTAGACTAAATGTGGTTGAAAACTGAAAGATTAGCTAGCATAGATAACTGTATACCACATATTAGGGCTGGGTTTTGGTACTCAACACCTTTAAGGTATCAGCCAAAATGACCCCGCACAAAGTAGTATCAGACAACACCTGCATTTGTTCCTTTCTGCACTCACTTTTGGAAAAAATTACTTTGTATGGTTTTGCTTGCAGCCAGTCACCCCAAGCACTCTTCGATTATATAGTACCGAAGTCACGCCCCTTCCGGTAGAGCTCATGGGACCTTAGATCGGAAAAAATATGAATGGCAGTGAATGAGGAGAGCAATATTATCTTTTGGTCCTGTTTGAGTTACGACATGAAATCTAAATATGTTGTTAATGAATTTAAAACACACATTTTACTTTACTTTGTGGTAAAACTGTTGAGATATAAGCTTTTTAATTAGAAAGACTCAAGAGTACACAGGAGGAGGTCGCGTATGTGACGTCATAGCTTTCGCTCGCTTCCTGCAGCTTGGCCTCCCCGCTGAAATTCCACTGTTTTATGATTAATCGATTTATGATTGAAGATGTCTGTGTGTTTTGTGCTAGGTTGTAGTCACTCCAAGCTGCAGGAAGCGAGTGAAAGCTATGACGTCACATACACGACCGCCTCCTGTGTAGTTTTTCTAATTACATTTTTTCAAAAGCTTATATCTCAACAGTTTTACCACAAAGTATGACTTTCTTGACCTTAAAATTTATGTTTTAAATTCATTAACAACATATTTAGATTTCATGTTGCAACTCAAACGGGAACAAAAGATAATATTTCTCCTTACTCCTCATTCACTGCCATTCATATTTTTTCCGATCTAAGGTCCCATGAGCTTCACCGGAAGGGGTGTGACTTCGGCACTCTATATGCCCACTACCGCAGCAGCTTCAACCCAGACAGTCTGTGGTGTGGTGAAGTTGAGCATGGTGTCTTTGATAGAGTTGGCAGTTCAGTGTGCTGAGATGTCACCAAAACATTGAAAAGTATGGATCTATTACAACCCTGTTGCATTTGGTGGCATTTAATGCAGCTAAATGCTTCCATTCACAGTAGTTTTTACAAAAAAAGTACAAAAAAAAAGGTATCAAATACTTGTAATTGAACCAAAAGAGACTCTTCAGACGTGGTACTTAGACCCTAGCATTTCCACCGCGAGCAGTACTCTTAAATGTGGGCGGGGCTGTTGTCACTCAGTGCTCCGTCCAGCACTCACTGTATTTCATCATTACCGGTGACACATATGGACGTCTGTGCCTCTTTTATTGTCCACAGAATAAGACATTTTCAGAACAAAATAAAACAGCCTGCAGTGAGACTCTCTTCATGGTATATTTAAAAATAGCGGGTTTGTACATTAAGTCCTTCTAAGGCAAGCTCAGGGGTTCAGTGTAGCCCACAGAAACTATGCTCTGCAATGCTTTTTTGGAGGATTGGGATATATCCTGTTCATATAACCCTGACCCCCAACAGAGGGGTGAGCAAAAATGGGGACGGTAAGGAACAGTTTCATTGGTACCATCTCACAACTTCTCAGTAGACAGGGGAAAAAAAAAACGTACCGAACTGAACTGTACCGTACTGCTCAGTGGAAATGGGGCTTAAGGTTGCTGGTATTGGTACTGGTATTATGATTTTTTTTAAAGATACCCAGACCTCCTATATATCAATATGTAGTAAGGACCTTTAGTTTTTAGATGACTTGAAGTCAGTTGACCTGGATTTCCATAAATGATTGTTCTTCTTGCGGTGAAGGTCACACACACATTCATTGTTTTATGCTTCCCTGTACTAACTGTAGTCTATATTTGCTGTACCTTTACAAACACATTCATTCACTTTGCAGAGATTGCTTCATTTTTTTCCCATTAACCTGGGTTTTGTCCTGCAAATGTAATGAGTTTGATATATAATTACCGAAAAATATTGGCGTGTAAATAAAATTATATGTTTACTTGCTCCATAAGAACTTAAACACAGCTTTCCAGTCCAAGCAATCTTTTGACAAAGGTAGACCTGCACTGAGCGTTTGGCAATTTTATTAGTTAGTACTATGCTTTTGTACGCAGCAGCATAGTGCAACTGGAGTTATCAGCAGAAGCTGTGCTTTCTGTTTATCTGCCTAAAACTGCTTAACATCACCTATTCAAAGATGGTTCCCCTGAGGAAGACGTGCCACTAAAGTGGAAGAGGGGGGCTCGTAAATGACAAACAATGGAGGAGTGATTGGTGCGTTTTCCCAGGGGAACATCTTTGAATTAACTCAGGTGCAGTGTGCACAAGCGTACGCACTAAGAGTGGTGATAGTCCCTGAAATGGAAGGCAGTCAGAAACAGCACTTACATGACAGATTACATATTTAACCCACCATTTTGGAACAGAATGAAATTACTCTCTAAATGAGTCAGTTTGTGTAATTCAGGTGTTTATGTACATGAGGCATTTTCTGTCTGATGGAAATCTTATTCTAATTATTGTCGGAATGAAAACCTCTTTCTAAAGGCTGCTTATAATGCTAACTGTATTCGGGCTGGCAATTTATTTCGAATCACTTTTGCTTCTGCTGGAAACACAAATGATCACTTCTTGTAGCACTTACAACAGCAACATTGAAAGCTTTCAGGAGAAGACTGTATTGTAGGTTTAATCACTATTATGTTGTATCTTTCTACAAAAGAGAGCAGCAGAAGTCCAGTTTACATATCCATATTTAGATAAAATACAGTAACTCAATTATGTAAAACACCAAATGTATGTAAATGTTTTAATATAGCAGGCTGATTCTATGATTCTTTACTTCAGTACTTTAAAAGACAGGTTGAGCACAGCTGTTCATGTTCATAAAAATGCCCAGGCTACCCTATTAGAGGAATAGTGAAATGTTAAATGTGTGTGGTATCTCCCCTTTAAAAATGTCAGATTTACATTTTCACCGAATGTGCATAATGTGGTTCTATCTCACAGCAGATGGCTTCGAATAAAAATGATGAAGGCAAGAGAGGAATAAAGTAAAGACTATAATAAGGTGTGAGATTGTGAAGCTATGTATGATAGTTGCCTGTGTCACCAGCTTTCCCACAAGTTTTTTTGTTTTTTTGTTTTTTTTTTTTCAGCTACATAATTGAACACAGCGTGTGTTTGTGTGTGTGTGTTATAGATCTCTATGAAGGAGCACCTGGAGGACAGCCTTCTGGAGTGCACCATGCAGGACCTGCTGCGTTATGATGACTACAACAACGATGGACACCTCAGCCTACATGAGTTCTACACAGCTTTCCGTAAGTCTTTGGTCGGTCCATGCTTTGTCCCTTTACCAGTCCTCCCTTATTCTCTTCCTCTTCCTTGCTCTGTCAGAACAAGAAGTATTAGTTCCTGGGACCAAGGTATCCTGTAAAATTACCTATCATACTTAAAGAGTATTTCTGCCTTCTTTTTAATGCAAAACAATGTACAATACATTTCTTCACTATTGTGTATACTTAAACCTTATCTGCCTATCTTCATCCTCTGCTAAGTAGTTTGCTTTCGTTGACAAAACAGGCACTACATATATCATTCTTGCTTTCAACAACAAAAAACACACAGCTATTCAGAACCTGGTGACCCCCATCCAGTCAGCCTCTCCACAGCAGCCAACAATGAAAGTGTTTCATCCACAGATAAATTGATAATTGCACAGTAGCCAGTGTGCCCAGACCCAGCCATGATTACAGCATCTGGAACAGATATAATAACCTGTGGGGTTTAGGCTGAGCTGCAGCTGAGAGCACAAGTAGGTTCCACCGTATTAAGACCAATAATCACAATTCCACTAATTCTACTGTATCATCAGCATCAAAACTGTTTGACGCCATGGCAACCTGCTACAACTCCCGTCCTCAAACTCATAATTTTAAATTTTCTTCTGGTCTTTTTCACTTTCACACCTCACATCAAACTGCAGTAAAGCAAACTTGAATCTGCGTCCAAAACGGTGATAAAATCTGATAAAGCTGATGAATCCAGCACTAAGCTGTGGCAGGTGGCCATTTCTAAGGCTCTACCTTCAGCTTGTGCAGGTCCATTAAGCCCTGCCACTAATTTAGCCTCCTAATGACTGGTTTTAGTGGGAACCATCCTGCTATTATTCTATTACACTCCCCTCAACTTCCAGATGGGCAGTGAGCAGACACTGCATGGTATTTGTCTACCTACTGGCCTGTCTGTAGGGTTCTAGGCTGTGTTTGTCAGTGCATTTTATGTTTGACAAGCAGTTGAAGAAATGGGTTGGGACCAATAAAACAAGCTACTGATCAGATGATGCTCAAGGTTAACTGTTGGGCCGAAAAGGCAGCACCAAGTGGGAGTGATTATTTTTGAGTGGCGCATCTGGTGTTCTGGATAATGTTGATGGTGTTGAATTGTGTAAGATTGCATGAAAGTGTGTGTGTGTGTCTGTGTGTGTGTGTGTGTTTTCCTGGGATGCAGTCAGTGCTCTTCCCCAGTGTGCGATCTGGAAAGCAGAGCAGCCAGGAATCACAGGTGTGTTTAGCAGGGTGGAAATATACAATATGGTCATAAGCTTGGAAAATAAAATACTAATAATGGGCCTTAATGATGTGAGAAGGTATTTTGCCCTGGTTGATATTCTACCGTTGAGCCAGTTGTCTGATTTCAGGTGGAACACATTGGATATCCAAGCTTAAGTCCTGTTATGGAGACCCTATAACCCAAAACACAGGGGTTGAAAATGTACTCGGCAAGCTGCAGCTTTGATCTAAGAATCAAAACCATCTGGTTGTCTCCCAAAAACACGACTCCAGCCTCATTGTTGCTCCTACAGTCTCTGAACTTGTGCTGTTAAGACAGGCTGATTGGATTGTTTTGGTCGCTTTGTTGTCTTTGCTGTATTTAATGTATAAACCCCGACAAGCACACGGCCCGACAAAGCTCTGTTCTGTCGCCACCCAAATCCATCTTTCTCTTTATTTTTAACACAAATTGAATAGAGGGGAATATTCTTGGAGAGTACTCCTAAAATGATTGCATTCTTATTGATTCCCTCCCCCGTTGATTCTACCTTTGCAAGCCCAGCAGGTTGTTTTGATGTACTTTTTTTCCGCTTTTCTCTACTGCCTCTTTGGTACCACTGTTAAGTAGATTCTACTTAAACACCTTTTTCTTTCTCCAATAGTATGGATTCACGATGAATGTTATTGATGTAGTCTCAGAGATTACTGGCAATTACTGGGAGACGGCAATCACATTTACATTTGTGTCTCAGACATTTAGCTGGTGTTCTAATCCAATCAGTTTAACCATGGAACGTTCTTTAATTCCTAAATTATCTGGTTTATACATAACCAGCGTGATGAAGTGTAGGTTTATAGTCACAAAATAATGGGAGAAGATTCAGCAATTTCCTCTTTAGATCTAATATATACCTTAGAGAAGAGTTCTTTAAAAACTCGTCTTCCTTTTGGATGGCTGAAGTAACAGTTTCCTTCTACAGAAAATTAGACCGGAGCATCTAGCTTCACTGTTGGGGAATAACTTTGCCCAGACTTCATCCACTGTTATCATTTAAGAGTTATTAGCACTATCAGATCGGGTCTTAAGGTTACTTTGGAGTACACTGTAATTTACATTTATTGATTTAAATAGAGCCGTCATGTTCTTGTCTGTTGGTCAGTTGGTTGGTTGATATGCTCTTGTCCGAATACATTCTCATTGGTCAGACAATCGCTGGTGTTTTTTTCCCCACTGAAAACAGTAGTTGTACATCACTTGTAAATGTCTGATGGGATGGGTGGTAATTTTGGTATTTGTCCTACCCCTTCTGCACTGTGATTGGACAGCTGGTGACTGTGACGAGTGCAGCGTTGTACCAAAGTTCAACATTTTTGAACTCTCAGTTTTTAATCAGAAAAAAGGATAAACAATTTCACTGTCAGATTTGTCATTATGGACTTATTTTACAAAGTCTCCAAAATGATGCTGCAGTTCAAGGCTGAATTATGAAGCTTCTGAGAGGCATACAACATTAACATACAGACATTAACTTCATGTTGTATAGGCCTATGGAATCGTCAGCCCTAGAGTTAGCTTCTATAGTGTCCAGTATGTCTAATTTTTCTTATTAGTCCTGTTCAATGCTTGGTGGTAGGAAAGAGTTGCACACACAGCTCAGCTGGACACTCCCAGCGATTCCCAGTAATACAGTGTGTGTATGTGTGTGTGTATTCATTTTCAGATAATATTACATGGGACATCACATTTATTTCTTACTTGAGGCAATGCCCACAGTTTACTTGCTCTGGGCAAGTGCTGATGTCAAGCTCTGTGACAGGAAAAAACAACAACACTTTAGTAGACACAAAACACTACGAGGTAGAGTGCGCTCAGTGAACTGTGGCCGAAACAGTTAACTAGAGAAAACATGCAGATTTTTTTTTTTCCCTATCGACCAATCAACTGGTGGAAAAGAAGGTAGAATTTCAGTGGACTGAGATTTTCTTTTGTTGATTACAGCCCTAGATTCCAAATATGATAGGCCTACTTGTATATTGTATATTTTTACATTTGCAGACTAGATCTGCTCTGGTGAGCGAGCACGGCTGTGTGTCAAAGGCAAGGCAGCAGATATTACTGAAGTTGTAATAAACATCTCAATCCTCTAAGCAGCAGTTGCAGAAATACCCAGTGTTTCCACTGTTAACATTATGCCATTTGTAATAGAGCTGAGCATTGGCAAAATACCTATCACAATAAAGGAGTTAGGATTCAGTATATTGTGATAATGTAAGCAATGCAATATTTAATGATTCTTTTAAATCTAATTTTATGAAATCTGTTAATGCTGACAGTGCACCCGTTATGACTCTATGTTCTTTGTGTTTACGCTCGTGATATGTATGTTATGATATGTATATTTGTATGATATTTTGTGTTGATGTGGAAGAGTCAAATGGCTGAAATAGATTGTAACACAAAAGGATCTAGCAGGTAGGGGTTTAAAAACAATACAAAGTGAACCACTGCCACACATATTTGCATCTAATCTAATCTTAAAATTCAAAATTAATCAAGAACTGCGAGTAGAAGAAGCGGTAGTGAGACTGTTCCTGGACACAGGCGAGAGATGTGACCAGATTATTGTAGTTTTTAAAAATGGACACAGTGATGATAACAACATGTCATACACCTGTCATTTATAACGTGGACCTGTCAAAGTGCATTTAACCCATGCTGGACTGTGTGTATGAGGCTGTTGATAGAGAAGTCAGTCTGCAGTCCACTTCACTGATAAACCAGAGAATTAGACAGTAACACTGGGCTTTGTGATTAAAAAAAAAAAAAAACCTTGCATCTCATCAAAGGCTCTCTCTCTTTGTTTCTATCTTTTTATCTCCTCAATTAAAACTCAATTATTTTAAGATGATAAATGTTTTAAAGATAATGTTGCAACATTTAATTAAACACATGCTAAAAGGCATTTAAACAAAGTTTTGTGTTGGACTCCTAATTTTGACACTAGGATTTTAATTCTCACTGCAAATGTATTTAGGTTCTAAATATCAGTTATCAGCGTCCTTGATTACGATATTTGTGCGTCCCTGGGAAAGACAAAAAAAAAAGGCTATACTTACGCAGAACCTAATGTGACTTCTTTAGATGGCTTATGTCCCACAAACAGTCCACAACCCAATGATATTCAGCTGACAGTGATTAAAACACAGAATGACCTCTTGTTCCATTCTACAGCAGGCGTGAGTAATCAACCTTTTTTTGGCCATAGTGCATATTGCAGGACAGAGATAACAGTGTAATGGCTTTAAATCAGCCTTGCAGTTTTCTGAGGTTATGTGGTCTCCAAACATTTATTACAGTATGAACATTGTGTAGGAGAGGATGGCTCGTACATGTGCCCTTTGTGTCCAAATTAGAACCACTATAATTATGCAATAATAAATGTACAAGAATTCGCCTTGCAGACGTTGGCACTGATGCCGGAGCCGCGATGATCCACATTAACCATTCGGTAACAGACAACAGTGCATTAGCACTGGAGCTGATAGGTGAGCAGGCTTATTGAGAGATATCTGAAGCCTGCAGACATAATATATACGGTCACACAAGGTCAGAGCTCCTTTGTGGATACATGTGTAGTGTATAACAGTGCCCTGCGGTGATACATGGGCTGCGTTTGTATTATGTATGGTGAGTAACCTTTTGTAAATGTGCAGCTGGAGATATCTGTGCCAGACCTCATGATATTGACTTTCACTTTCAGGGCATG